TCCTGGCCCAGGCGCAGCACGAGCGGGCGTTCCTGCGGGACGGGGTGCGGAGAATCCCGGTGCGAGAAGGGAGGATCCGGGCGACGCTTTTCCTGCCCCCCGGTGAGTACCAACTGCAGCCATCCTGCTTTCTCTAAACTGGTGTTGTGTTGGTGAAAGTTGTTCCATGACCTCTGTGGAGTCCATTAAAGCCTCATGTCCTTTCCCCCATCCTTCCCTCCCCACTCCCATGCCACTCACCAGCCCGACCATGCTTCCCAATTCACCGGCCCATGCACGTGCCAGGACACAGCTGCAGAAGGGAGAGGAAAAACCATTCTTACTCGGGGCTTGAGGTTAAAAAAAAAAAGAAAACAAACTAAAAAACAACCATGAAGAAATTCACAGCAAGTGAATGTGAGTGTGCCTTGAGAGCTGCTAGACAAGAAGCTGCAGAATACAGTGGTGTCGTATTTTGTTTTGATTCCTAAAACAAATAAAGGTTTGCACCTTATCTAAGAGGTTCTGCTCCTGCATTTTTTTTTCCTCTACAACACAATTTAGAATTTTTTCAGGTGCTGACACTGCACAGCTGACTGATAGCATCTTTTCCTCAAAAGAAGCTTTTCTGCAGTTCCTGTTTTGTACCTCGTTTGATGCATTCCAAACCAGAGAAACATTGAAAGGAGTCATTTCAGGCAATTCTGATCTTTGTCTTGTTTGCTCCAGGAGAAGACACCTTTCCAGGGATCATTGATATACATGGACTTGGAGGAGGTCTTTTTGAGTCCAGAGCAAGCCTGCTGGCCAATCATGGCTTTGCCACACTCGCCCTGGCTTATTATCAATTTGAGGATCTGCCCCAGGAACCAAAGACACTCCACCTGGAATATTTTGAAGAGGCAGTGAACTATATGCTGCAGCACCCACAGGTAGGAACACCCATTTGCTCTGGGTTCCAGGAACTGCTCCTGTAAAGTCCTCTCACTTTGCTCAAGTCATCTTTGGAGGAAGCTGCAGAATTACTCACCTGGCAGGGCTGGCCTTTGCAAGGATTTTGGGTGTCTGAGTTCTAGGAAAGAGAAGGGGCAAGTATACATGCTCTGGAAGGGGGGTGGAGAGAGATCACAAAGCAACATCACAAGAGACAGATCAGATGTAACCAAGTGGGAAGTGTTGCAGGAGAAAGCCTTCATGAGTTGCCACCAAATGTCCTCCTACAGTTTAAAGACTGAAAAGTAAAGAGCATCTGCCAGGGTATAAGACTAATAATTCATAGCTGTGACCTACAAGCTGTCCCCAGAGGGATGAAATCATGTCTCCCCACTCCTGGCTGATTTCGGAATACCAAGGAACATTCTGCATATGAGTGGTTTGAAGTACAGTGTGAGGAGGGAGTATAGGGGGTGTGGGAGGGTATGCCTGCCATTTGTCCAGAAGGAAAAGTAATCATTGCCATGACTTTCTTCATGTGGTTTTGCAAACTCTCAGCATTGGACAATCTTCCCCTCCATCAATCTTTTCAGCTGAGCACTGATGAGCATTTCCTCCTATCTCCCAGGTGAAGGGTCCAGGGGTTGGCCTGCTTGGTTTCTCCAAAGGAGCCGAAGTGTCCCTTGCCATGGCTGCCTTCCTGAAGAACATCTTGGCTGTTGCTTCCCTCAATGCCCCTGTTGCTGTTACAGCGATTCCTCTCTCTTACAAAAATAAAATCATCCCCACTGTGGCCTTACATGAACACAAAGCCAAGGCCACCAATTCCAAATTTCTTGACTATTCTGATGGCATGGATGATCCCTTTCAAGCTCCTGGCGACCAAAGCCGGATCCCACTAGAGAAAGGTGAGGCACAGCTTCTATTCATGGTGGGCCAAGATGACTGTGTTGTCAAAAGTGAGTATCATGCTACTGAAGTCTGCAAGCTTCTGCAAGCTCAAGGGAAGAAAAATTTTCAGATTCTCTCCTACCCTGGAACAGGGCACTGCATAGACCCACCCTTTTTCCCTTTGTACCACATAGGAAGCCACCCTGTTTTTCACAAGCGAGCAGCCCTGGGTGGGGAGCTCAGGGCTTATTCTAAAGCTCAGGTTCATGCTTGGTCACAGATCCAGGCATTTTTCAAAAAGTATTTAATTGTTAACTAATGTGCAACAAATAATGTGCAAGTAACACACCATTTTGAACAACCAGATCTGATAAATTCTACTGCAGTTATGAGGTCAAACCTTTGTCACAGCTGTACCAGTAAAACTGCAGTATCTTTCATACCTTTGCATATCCATAACACAGAAAATAAATGGGCTTGCCTTTTCTGTCCCCCTCTCAGCCTTTCTGCTCAAGTGTCCAGAAAAGGAATGGTGGGTTTTGCATTAGTCTTTGATAAAACAGGTCATGTGCAAAATGCACAGTTATGTTTCTTGGGTGGTTTCTATTCCTCTAATACTTGACAGTCCTTTCCATGTCACTGTGGTCTCTACATGAATATGCTATCCTCAGGTCATACTAATTGTCTCTAATGACAGTTTTGGAGCAGAGATTTCACTGCTCTTCTGGTGACTGTGTCATTGCAATGGAAATGTCTCTGACCTCTGTGCTGCTGGAAGTGTGTAAGAATGGCTGCTATGGCCAGGATGCTGGGCTCTCTCTGGTTAAGCCTTGGAAAAGGTCGTTTGCCTTTTGTGCCTTCTTTCCATCTTCCCTTCCAAAGGAAGTGCTCTGGCTTGTGGATACTTCTGGCCCCAAGATATGCAAAAAAGCTTTCTGTTGAATTTACAGCCATTTTGATCTTCTCCTACATGATGTGGAGCATTTTAATCTTTGTTACTGGGATGAGAATTGTAATAAAGATTTGAAAGCCATGGAGTCTTTTGCTGTGCTTTGGTTAGAAGCAGGGTTTGCAGCTTGACTACCTTCTCATCCCAGGGTGAAGGCTTAAGAAAGCTTGCAGCTTTGGGATCAAAGGTTACCCAGGTGGGATCAGGAGACCATAGAAGATGGACACTTAGTCCCCTTACCTTCACTCTATTCCACAGGTCTTGTGTCACCAAGCATGGAGGAGAAGGAATTTTGCTGAAGCCTCCAGGACCCTTAGCATCTGCTCCCGCATGTGGTCAAGCCCATGATCAAATCCAATAGTGTAAGCCACAGAGTGTTGTTCTCAACAACAGGAATAGTTGCCACACATTCAGGGCTGGACACCAGACAACAAACCCAAATGATAGATGACAGAACACCTCACCTGTTTGGAGAGAAAGGGTAATTTCCATGGTCAATGAAACAGTGCCCAATATCTCTGACCACTTAGTATTTCCAATTAGGGCAATGTAAGATTCCCTTAGATGCTTCTACTTTCACACCTCTAAGACAGGCATGAGGAGCTCGGAGCATGAGGCATCCCTGCCAGCATCTTCCTGGAAGAGTGGGAGCTTCAGGAAACAGCTCTCCCTCTGCAGTTCCTTTTGGATCAGAAGATCCATCTCTGCCTAAGATGGACTGAATGACCCTGTTTTTTAAATCCTTGCACAATCCATTATTAGAAGAGCCACATGTTTCCTGACCTTCCTAAATAGTCTGAGAAAGTGCTCCTCCCTTATTGCTCCTGCATCCCTGAGCACCCTGACCATCCTTCCTAACACACCTGGCTGTGCAGCTTCCTAGGCCGGGCAGAGCTTGGTGGAGACATAACCCACCTTGCCCATGCCTTGAGGTAACGAACAGAGAAGCAGAGCAGGCAAGGAGACAAGAAGCAATGGTGAGCGAGTGCTGGTGTGGCTTCTGCCCGTCTCGGCTGGAGCTGGCCCTAGCTGCGGCCGCTTGGCTGTGCCGTGCAGAGCTGTCCCATCTGTACAGTCTGTCCCACACCGGCCCTTCCCTGTCCCATCTCTGTACGATCTGTCTCACACCGGCCCGGCCCCTCCAGTGAATTCCGACTGCGATTTTGCTCGGTGGCTCGTCTCCTGCCCGCAGCCACCGCCCGGCCCGGGAGAGCTCGGTGAGACACCGAGGACCTCGCCGAGGCCCAGAGGGGTTCAAGGACTCGGCAATGTTTGGATGAAGCCTCCCACAGCCGGAGAAGGCAGCGGGGGGAAGACGGAAGAGGAGGCAGGCATTCAGGGAAGTAGGGAGGTAGAAACCTGCAGGAACGCAGGCAGGCAGGAAAGAAGCAGGCGGGCGGGACAAGGGAGCTGCCGCCC